TGGTGCAGAAATTATATGGTAACTATGTTCTATTTTAGGGGGGGAAAGCAATCAATATTACAACAGACAGGGATGGTTATTGATGGGAGAAAGGAGGATGAGAAATAGGAACTGTACCAACTCTCTCATACCTTTGAGGACTTCATGAACTTTTTCAAAAGGCTGCAAGAACTATACCAACAGTGACATGACATTTTGAAATCTGTCAGTTACTTTATAGAGGAGGAACCTCTGACTAAATCATTTTCTCTCAGACACATGAAAGCCGAGTCCACAGATCCTTCCATCAGCGAATAGTTCAAATGTAGTTCAAATGCTTTCCTCGCAAACTTTTCCTTAATGGAGAAGTCAGTGATCTTTACTTGGAACAGATTGAATCTGTGAATATTGATGCTGAAAGCCTGATGAATGTGATTGAACAGCCCCTACTTGATGCTGAAACCCTGATGAATGTGATTGAACACCCACTACTGACTATGGGCACAAATGTTGGAAACAACGTTTGTTTTGATCAATATAACACTATGGGTGGTGGGAGCAAATTGGAAAAAAAATTAAAAGTATGTTTTTAAAGATAGAAATACTGGTCATGGCTTCCTTTTAGTTTTTGTCCAATGAATTAAAAGTCAACGCAAATGTTAAGTAGTAAAAGAAATGTAAGATCCCTGGTATACATTGTACTTTTAACAATGCTTATGATCAATATCAATAAAATAAAATAAAAGTTATAATATGTAACTTGATATTTGTTAACTTCGCTCGATTTTACTGTGTCCAACATTTGATATTAAATCTTGTGTGATATATGAGAGGGATAGCACACAAGATTGTATCAATGTCAATGAAAGCAATTATTTCTTAAGTTTTCAACCATATTTCTTGAAACTTCATTTCTAAATTTCATACATCAATTGTTCAAGACAGTTTTAAGGTCAATTTCATTCAGTCAAGGTGAAGGCTACAGCTTCACAACCTGTTCATGTACATGTGACAGAGAAATTGTCAGTGCATTCCTAACTAAGTATTCAAACCAAATTTTATAAACCTTGATCCATCATTCTCAACATTAAATCATGCACTACCTGTTTGCATATACACAAGCAACCTCAACTTTCAATAAGTCCTGTTGTCAACATTTGTTGCACAATGCTATCAGTTCTGAAACCAACAATCATGACAACTGTAATAACATAGTATGTGTTCTAGCTGGTACATTTGCAGTACTCTTTTGAAATGTATTTGAAATTAATATGTGCATCTTATTTCAAATGCTAGCCTATGAAGATGATAAAGCTGAACATATGCTATAAAGTTGTTGTTTTCTTTGTGAAGAATTTATGCAATGGAAATAGAGGGAAAATAATGTAACTCTCCTAATCTTGTGTGTGTGTGTGAGTATGTATGTTTATATTTTGTTTATCTTATTCAATATTGAAACATACAACAATGTATCATATTGAATTAGAGTGCTTTTTATATTATTTGTTCATGGGAACACAGATTCAAAATAGTTCCATTTTTCATAAGAAGAGACCTTTTCACTGCAGTGAATATGTAAAACACTTTATTTAAAAGTTTTTCAAAATTATTGAGAGACTTGTAAATTTATGGGTAGCAGTAATCCACTTGCTTATCCACAATTTAGTTTCGGCAAGTAAACATCCTTATAAATATTGTTCTGTAACAATATACACTGACTGATGCAAAATTGAAACTTGAACAAAATTCACACGTATTAAAAAGCATGCCAACCCTGGTCGATGTGCACACTTTACAAGATAACTTGCTTGAATATATATTGATCAATATACAAACTTAGACGATAAGTTCAAAGTTGAGTGAAATCCATGCCTAATTAATTAGCATACTGTACTCTGATTGGTCAATGGTTTTATGCCAAGTAACTTTGTTAGATAAGGCAAGGGTTGATATCTTATTCAACAACAAAGGCAAAGTTCAAAGATGTTCACAATCTGTGCATAATCTATTCAATGGTTTAAAATAATCAGGTATTGGTCAAAGGGGTAAATGCCAGTTTCAGTTTTTAATGTTCTATGAAATACATTGTATGGACAAAGGGAAGCAATTCCAAATTCCTATGCAAATTAATTATCCAAAGGTTTAAAATGATATATTCTAGAGGAAACTTGGTACCACTCTTCTGACAAACCTATAAAGATATACTGTACACACAAGAAGAATAACTTCACAGTGGTACACTTTTACATAAAACTTTGATTCATAACAAATTAACAGTAAATCCTTCTGTACAATATGATGGGAACTTCGTCTTTATTTTGTTCTCCATTCCAAAAATAATATATATATCTTTTGCCTTAGCTTTCAGTACTTTCAGTACTTTGATTTATTCAAATTGGTACATATTTCAACAACAAAAATAAATACTGTAGGACTCAGGTGACCGTTAAGGCCCATGGGCCTCTTGTTATTGAATGAAATCTACAAATATTTTCACTTTTGAAAAATGCGTAGTTTTTGTAGATTCAAAATGTGATGGCATACAAGTGTATTGATATGGGGTCAAAAGTAAGGGGTTGTTCCCATCCCGTTTCACCGGTTTGGCCTGTAAACTTCCGGTTATCAAAAGCAGAAGCGTGTAACGCTCTAATATACCATTTAACCTGCCAAAAATGCCCTTTGACGCCTTTGTCAGGTATATAATAATGAATCTACACAGTTACCACTAATGTTGCCCCTCAAATATTAAAGCTATTAGCTCAAAAGCTTAGCAATGATATATAGTAAATTATTTAATTGTGCGAGTCCTTTAAAAAATAATGTCAAAACTAATTTTCGACCTTATAAACATAATTATAAACTAATACGACCTCCAGCTTCATCATCGCTGTATTGATTAATAGTGTTTGGTGATAAATGGTTATACCTATATTTGTGAACAAATCTTCATATCGATGCTATTCTTACTCAGCTATGGGGGCATAATTTCATGGCCAGTTTTAAACTTGTTCCCGAGTCCTACTTTTGGACTTTAATCCTGGGCCAGCATAAATGAAACGTCTCATGTCTAAGCTAAGATTCTCTACTCGAGTAGTTTCTTGTGTCGGTGAAAAGTAATAAACACTTACATTTAGTCACTGATTTGTGAGATTTTTGGTGAGACAAGTACCGTTTGCAATATCTATAACAGATATGGGTTTTTTACCATGTCACATGATTTATGAAACTTACAAGAAAGTTAGTTTGAGCACAGACTCCATGCTTGAGTATGAGAAAGGTTTCATGAAAACGGGCCCTGGTCCTCCTTTTATTATTAAATGTTCTCAATTGACCATCTGACCTTGTCACATGATTTAAGCAAGTTACAAGAAAGTTGGTTTGAGAACAAAATCCATGCTTGAGCATGAGAAAGGTTTCACGAATACAGATCCTGATCTTTCGAGCAAGTTGACGACTAGTCGCTGAGATCTCTTGTTTAATGACAATGTTACGACGGGCTTTTCTAAATACAAGTTGGCTAGTGTTGGAGAAATTGTTTCCCATTTTGTATTATCGCTTTGATTAAAACAGCAATTCTGGAGAACTATCTATATATCTGATTTTGTTTTTGTTGGTCTACGCTGTTGTGTTGACGCTGTTGTTTATTTTGTTTTAGTGTGTTGACGCTTTTGTATATTTTGTCCTTGAGTGTTGACACTGTGGTACTTTTTATTTATTGTATTCTTTATTTAATCAAATTTTAATGAATAATACAGGGGAAAACATAGTTTTGTCTAAAAACTGTGATTTTTTTAGTACGGTTCCAGAATCTCAGAAAATTTCATGATTGCTTGTTATAGATATATTTCATTTTTCCACGAGAATGAAATGTTCACCAAGTGAAATACTCACTAGCAATAGAGGGTAGGGAAATACTGAAATAATCCATTTATATCCCAGCGTAAAGTGTTTAATTTCTCTCAAGAGAACGATTCAACTTTTAATTACACGAACTGAAAAAGTAAACAAAGGAGTCTACAGCTGACTTTTCAGAGCTGATCAAATCTAGTGCATTTTGCTGCATTTCTAACTTTGCATTTATGTTATCAGGTTAAAATTTATCATAAAAAATCCATTTGGTATGCAATTGGATATAATAAAAAACAATTAAAGTTAGCATACAGAATGCTAATTTCTAGTAAACAGGTGTGATTGATTCAACACCACACGCTCACTGCGCTACACCTGCCTAGTTTATTTTAAAGATGGAACCATGGGTGGTCTGTTTAATAATAACACTTATATTTTACTTATGTCGGTATATTTTATTTTTGCTGTACTTAGTACAATGCTATTGGTGTTTTGGCATACTCGTGAAATATAGCATTGAATATTAAACTATTAAACTATGTCTTCCAGTTGACTTTATTGCACACTTAATAACCGGAAATACTTATAATTATGCACATGATTAACTGTTAATTACTTGTACATGTACATACACATAGAATAACTGTTAAATATTTAAATAATTCGCAAGATATGTATTTTTACGTCTATTCTTAAGAAGGGAACATTTTGCATTTAAATATCTCTGTAAAATTAATTCATACATATTTGAACAATAATTTGACGAATATCAATACACTTTGCATATGGCATTGTACTTTTTCACATAATATCATTGTTCTTTTGTAAATATCATTTTACTTCCTTTGCATTTATATTTCTACCTTTTCGTACATCATCATGCTTTTGTGTATATCCTTGTCCTTTTTCGTATGTCATTGTATTTTTGCGTTTATCATTGTTTTTTGGTCGCGGAACAGGATTGTGCAATATTAAATAAATACAATTTACCGTTTTTCAAATGTATTTAATAGTATTACACAATACTGTACACAGAACTTGACAGCACTTAACAAAAATGTCATTTTTATGACCCGAGATATCCTACAAACCCTTCGATGTAACGATTTCACGCAAACTCTAGATCACTCGCTTACTAGACATTACTTCAATGCAAATAACAAAGTCGAATATAGTATGTTATATGGTAACTTTATTCACGAGTCTTATGATGGTGGTGGCTTACAGTTAGTTGGTGGTACAAATGCCGTAGGATCAGTAATACCGACTGTGATGTCAAAGTAACTGAAAAATAAAACGTTTAGTCTTACATAACTTGGTTCACAAATCCTTTTTTTATTTTATTAATATGAATTTTCAAGGACACATAATACGATTTACTCGTGATGCTAGGGCTAAAGGCCGCAGGCTGAAGCCATGGGTTCATAAAAAATCAAAGCTTTCGCATTTTTAATTATTTCCAGAACAAAACTTTAATTTTAACTGGTGGACTTAGGGCTGAAGCCCTGGGGTTATCACAAATCGAACCATTGACATACGTCCTCTTTCGTTTTCAAATGTTTCAGCTATTTTCTCCTTATAGAACGTAGTAATGACATGTATTCCGACATATATTGCATAAAATTGTAATGTACATTATTTAAATAAGTCACATGATTGCTTTACTATATACTTACTCTGAATGCTCAAATCCGTACTTCTTAGAAATATGGAAGTTTGTCACTGGAATACACCCAGGGGAGGTAACCAGTCCAGTATAATACTCTATAGATAAATAAAAAATATATATAATTAGCGATAGGAGTCTTATCTGTCATCAGAAACTCTATAAATGCACTTATTAATTCATTTCTCATACAAAGTGCCCTGTCATACCTCACAATCTTACCAATTGATAGGACTATCTGGTTAATATAAGTCTCTACGAAACAGTTTTGTCAGGATGAGCTTGGTATACAACTTCACTGTAAACCAGTATCAAACCAACGTCTACAATATGTATGTGTTGCACATTTTTTAAAACTTTTATTTCATGTTTTTAGATTGTGCTTTTAGTAAATCTCTCTATATCTGTATTGAAAATAAAATTATCTTTCGGGACCAAAACATTTTGGAACCTCTATCCTGCCAAATCAGGTTATGAAGAGTGATTTTTGTTAATATAAGTATAAACACAATGTCTACCTGTATACTGATATAATTAGTAGCTACGTCAGGTTGGTAAATGCATTATGCTGCTGTAAAACAAACACGGGCCTTCAATTCTACCTTAATAATATACAAATGCTTGCATAAGTGTGTTTCAAGATGTTTCTGGATATTCAGCCATACTATTGAACAAGAGGTCACATGTATATGATGTATATAACCACTCACGATACAAATAATAATGTGCATTTTACACATATATGCATTTATGAAAATATATGATTTTTTCTAAATATATAAGCTGTTCACAACCACAACAAATTGTGCTCATGAGTATCCTTTGTTGTTATGTTGTCACTACCCCAGTTCTTGTTATGAGGACCTGATATTATTTGGATTTGACCTAAATTTACATGGCAGGCGTTGTATTCGAATCATTTGTTTTCCTTGTTTGTTTTTCAAATTAAATTATACATTTTTTTCACACTTCGGCATTCTTATGTCCGTATTTATTTTCCCCTAAAGACAAATTGAGCTGAACCTTTATCACAAGATAAACTTGTACCATGTAAAGGTTGTTTTCTTACCGTTAGTCTCGTTAGCGGAGAAAACCTGGACCTGGATGTTCTCCCCTGGGAATCCGGGTGCGCCCAGTGACATGATGGTCTCGAACTTGGCGTCGGGGTGGACCCCGCGGTAGTGGAATTGCCTGTCCGGTTCGATGGCTGTCACGTTACACGTCTGTGTCCTCCTGTTCAGACTGTACATCTTCCTCTATACGACGTAGGTTGTAAAAAGGAATACATTTCTGTTTTAATTTAAACTGTCAAGACTTTGCTGAATGGACAGAATACTAGATGTGCACAGGGTTCAATGGTATTACAGGAAGCAGATATGTACAAAAATAGAATATATATCACTTTAAGTCCCCATATTGCGGCCTCCTGGCCTTCTTCAAGGGCGAAAGTCAACGTTTGTTTAAAGTAACGACCATCTTGTCTCTACCTCAGAAAAAGCAAAATGGACGTTACTTAAAACAACCGTTGACTTTCGCCCTTGCAGAAGGCCAGGAGGCCGAAACATTTGGACATAAATGACATTCATTCAATTTTTTTGTTTTATATCCCCCCCCCCCCCCCCTATGGAAATCATCTGTGGTATATTATATATGTACAGATTTGATTTATTCTTTTTTACAATTTGAACGTCATGAATGTTCATACCATGTACTATGATATTTACTCTGAATGTCTTTATGAAATGCTTTCAGTTTTTATATAGGAAATGCAATTAGGATTGATGTTTCCCCTACAATTCAACAGTTTCCATTGTTATCGGTGAGCCCATATCAATAACAAGAACAGCAAAAGAGGAACAGCTGATTTCACGCACTGTTTCCCGTACAAAATCTAAATCTAAAACAAAACTTTTATATCTGATTCAATTGTTCTTAGTTTAAAGGAAAGAACTCATATTTGAAATCAATATAATGAGTATATTAAATTAGCGTCGAACTAAGTGACGGAGAATGTTTTAACTGAAGTTTTTTAAAGAACTATTTGCCGAGCGCGTAGTCACGCGATTGCGGCAGTACTGCACAGGCTATACGTTTATACGCTGTAAGTAACAGTTGCATTTATGCTCTTATAAATGAATCTACACATAAAACGGATATAGAATAGTGTTGCCACACTAGTTGAAAATATATTGCTTTACTTTCGTTGTTTATTTGGTGACATATTGTTCTATATTTTGATTGTAAATCAGGGGGTATACTGTTCAATAATTGAGGATTATTGTTTTATACTGAGCACTAGCGCGAATACATATTCTTCAATAAAGACTGTTAAAGTGATGGTACATGTACTAATTTGATGATTGTTACTAGCGCTGTGGTACGTGCTTGTCGTGGTCTTTACCTCGTTAAATAGCTCAATGACGTCATAGAACTCTCGGGTGCTGTTTAGCTCGACCTCAGCTATCGTACGTGTCCTCTTGTTAGTCTCGTCGTAAAACAGATGTCGCCTCTCCTCATACTTTTGACTGTAATCAATCTGAATAGTCAACAAATTCAGAACAAATCTTTTAATTACAAAACGTACTTGTAAGATTTGCAATCCATCAATCAACCAATCAATCAATCAATACTAGTTAATCAATACTAGTAAATAAAATGAATTAAACTAAAAAGATTACATTGTCGAACTTCGTTTCATATTTGAATCAAATTATATTATTTTGTTAACATATTGCTTTCATTTACTTATAAGATTTGGATATGATGTTGTTTTATTAATATATCTATATTACTTACCCTAATTTCCCGCCCTTCCCACTGTGGTGGAGAGCCTACAAGTCAAAAATCAGGTGTAAGTGTCTCATATTTCTGCCATTCTACGAAAATATTTTTTTGAATATGCATTAGAACTTACTTTCAATATGATTTAATGATTACTTTATCTGCTGTCAGTATCGTATATCTAACCTTACAAACCGGACATTGTATAAGTACTTAGTTCTTGTTTCCGAATCGTTGCTGATTATGTATTGAAAATTTAGTTTACTGTATATAACAGAAATAATTACAGTTTAAACAGTTTAATTACATGTCATTAAAAATCGGTTTTCCATTCCATTTTTAATTTTTAATTTTCCTTCAAACCATTTCAGTAGTCTGTCGTTTTTACTGGTATTTAATACATATTATCTTGTATTGAGTATGTCTAATATGTTAGTTGTTCCTTAATTATTATGCAATGGGCATATTTCATAAAACATAAATAGCTTTAATACTGATGTTCCCTGGGATTAATTGAAAACAAAAACACAAACAAACAAATGCCCAATTCAAATATAAAAAAATAGACAATAATGATATTATAATGATATTATTAAAATATACAGCAATTTAATATAATCCGCAAATATAAATAGGAATGAAAATACGTCTGATCGGATAGTCTTCAGGAGAAATATTGTCATTTTCAGAAAATAAAAAATATCATTTCTTTATTTGATACATAGAAACTTTTCTATCGTATACCATTTTGCACAGGGAGTTATGGAAATCTCAAATATACAACTGATTAATTTAAATTTATCAGTTGTATTTTTAAAGAAATCATAAGAAAGGTTTGTATTGTCTCTCGACTTTATATAAGAAAGAGTTGTTAACAAAAGAATCAATGCATTTCTCGCAATAGTTGTGATACATACACTGATTTATAATATGACATGTGTACTTACTGCATGGGGAAGGAATTTGTCCAAGAACAGCGCCAACGGCGAGACAAAGGAGGAAGGCGGCCTTCATGTCGATTTGAGGATTATTGACCGAAGTGAGATACAGTGGCGTCTGTTCCTTATTATACGCCGGGCTATCTAACATGTAGTCTCGACGAGTCCCTTATCTTATCTTTCTAGTGCTCGAGGTATATATATACATCTGTTCAACCGGCCAGATTGTGAAATTCTTCTCCCTGTCCAGAAATGACATTCACTGATAATTCTTATTTGTTTCGATTTGCCTTGACATAATGAAATACATGTATTTCCAATATATTTGAATTGTCCTATTTTAATAAAAAAAATAATAATCTGAAAGCCTATTTTATTTTATATAATCTTCAAATGTTGAAGTTACATATTTATATATTCTGTCAATTATAAATCCATTATTTGTCCATTGATTATAACCAAAGTAGTAAACTATGGGTTGCATGAACAGGGCTTCTATTAATAGATAAATGTCATACGTGGTTTCTGCCCTCTCCAGGCCTCAAACTCTCAATCTGCAGCGCACTATCATCTACGCAGTGGTATCAAGCCCAAGAGTCCCGAAATGATCACAGTGAAAAATCGTCTTCAGATGATAGAAGTACTCGAATTGGAATGCATAGTATATTTATAGATATACAGATGCCCCTGTTAATTTGTGTGAATCAAAACCAATTAACACCTTCTAGTGATTACAGAATCATATTACTTGTATAATGACTGTATAGACCGTAACACCTCGTTATATTGCCACATTTTTGTCCGGGGAAAAGTCGGCATCACATATACCAAAAGATTTGGCGATAAATTGAGAGAAACGTACAAAACATTCTTCAAAAAACAAAAAGGGGGAACTTAAATATTTGTTGACGATAAGTGAGTTTGCAAATAAAATGAGGGGCATTATATCGGGTTTTACTGTACTATAATATATCTCGTGAGGCATGCTCATGTTGTAACAAAAGTATCTTCTATTAGACACTGGCATCGTTCAGGTGTTCACAATTATTTAACATACCTTTTATAGCTTAGTTGTCTTCATGAAAAGAAAAGAAATAAGGAAACAAATGGAAGGAATTCGAAAATGTTCTTTTGGACAAAATTAAGCCCGTCATAGCTTTAAACGTTGTATTTAGCTTTACTTGTCATTGATAGAGGAGTTGTGTTTTCAAATGCAATTTTTTTACATTATCTTTGTTTGTGATTTCCTTCTCCGACTAGGCGTAATTATTTATGATATATGAATTGTATCGATTAGAAATCGTTTCCTTATTAGAACTTTAAATCAATACTATTTTAGATAATTTGGGCAGTATGAACATTTTAGCATTACATGTGACTATAGTACATGCATGAACCGATCTGTCTACTGTATACCGGGATTTTGGTTTTGCTGCACTTAACTTGTCTCCCTTTCCGCCCTCTGTTATGAGGGTGAATTTATCATTTTAGCGATATTTTGTAAACACCATACTATACATAGTTATATAATATGATTAGCGGATTTAATATTGGTCGAAACTTGATTTTACCCGTCGAAGGGCCAAACTTTCCCGGTAAACAGTCTTACATTGTTAGTTTCATCTTAGCTAGAGTAAATACTATATCATATCCAGCAAAACACTATTTACATGACTTACAGTACATGTAAAAGTATATGACATAGACAGCATTATGTACAATGTAGATGTAAATTGCTGTTCTGCAATATAAGTTGCCACAATTTTTCCTCCATTGAAGTTGAAATTTCTGCTAAAGAAGGACAATCGCTAACTATGTGTACTACAGTTTTGTGGTAAAAATATCATAGGTATCGTGTTCCTGCTAAAACATGTTTAACTATATATTATCATACTTATAGCTATCTACGTTTTTTTGTATGCATAATTAAGTTTAACAGAATATTATAGTTGCCATCCTGTATAATAGAATGTACATCACGTGATAAAAAATACATATATTAGCCGCTTTTTTAATTTTAGCTGACATGTCTAATCATGTGTGATAAAAAATAATACTCTTAATTCTAGTGTTTACATGAATGCTAAAATATCAATAATTAGTTTACCCCTGGAAATATTTATAGATTTTGTACACTAACTGAAATTATAAACTGTGGTAGCAGTATACAGTAGAGCGTTGTGGCCATGAGTGATATTTTTGTTAAATGGCTAACCCCTGTATAATGATATGTAAAAAATATATAAAAATAAAACTGTACTAAAATTGGTATAAGCATGATGAAGTGGGCTATGTGAGCTTAACATTTGTAAAAAAGAAAGAAGATTTTTTTGGTTCGAGGATAACATTTTGGCCATAATCCGAAAGAGTGCGCACAAATGAAAAGCTAGCTTTACAGGAGGTAAAATTTTGACACCAGCACACGACGCAAAATTGCAAAAAATCAAGTTTTACAACTAACCTGGGACCCAGATAATTCTGCAACCAGGTAGGTAATCTTTAATTTCAGACAGAGCTTAGGAAAAAAAATAGTAGTTGCGGGGGTCAAATTTTGGGTTAAAAATAGCAATTTTTGGCATTTTTTGGTAATTTTTGATGTGGTAACCATGGTTTTCACACAAGTGACATACATAGAAAAAAGAGGTTTATACACTTCTCAGTACTTTATATGTATTGTAAATGTAATGCAGTTTACAAATATATATACATGTGTTGTGTAGGGTAAATCCGCTGTGTTTACATTTCCTCGACATGTGCCTTGTTTATCAGAGTCGGGTCATCTCTACTGTATACTGCTACTTGTGATAACTGTATTCTTGTTGAAACATAGGTCAACATGACTGCATATGGAAACTCATTAAAAACACGTACAAAATGTCAGTCATATTTTAAGTTTTAATTGATAAATGCGATAACATAAACCTAGTTTCTATGATTTTATGCACTCTGATGGAGGTACGAAAGCCATCGGGTCGGAAATTCCGGCGGTGATGTCGAAATAACTGTAAAAGAGAAAAGAGGGTTCCGTAGCCAGACACAAAATGGTGAATTATTTACATATGTTTAAATTCGGATCCTTGATGATTTCCAGTTATATTTCATCATTCAACAGAAAAGCTATGCATTTTCCATAATTACTTAGATTGAAATCAAATTCCATGCGCAAAGCAAACTAACCAAGAAAGCTTTGTATATGGAATTAACCAATCGTAAATTGCCTAACAGTCATAAAGCTTACTCGGAGTGCTCAGTACTATATTTCTGTGTAACGTGCATACATTTCAATACTTTATTAAAAATGCTTACTCCGAGTGCTCAATACAATATTTCTGTGAGACATGAATAAGATATTATAAAAGCTTACTTATTTTGCTCAAAACCATATTTCTGTGTGATGTGAATACATTACAATATTTTATAAAATGTAAAGCTTACTCTGAGTGTTCAAAACCATATTTCTTTGTGATGTGAATGTTTGTGACTGGGATACATGCTGGATAAGCAACCGTTCCTGTGTAAAATTCTGATACAAATAGAAATGGAAAGGATTAGCTTCATTGTCAATATACTAAAATTCTTTTATGAACTAAAAATTACTTTATAATACGACTTTGTTATTTAAAATCTGAAGAATGTCTATCGTCAATAAGATAGAATCGCCATCATTTTTCATATCTTTTATACAAAGTTTCCTGATAAATTGGCTGGCTGTCGCAATTTTTTTTACGCACTTTTAAGTTCTACTACATATGTTTAATGTATTCTAGAATATAAACCTGTTTTAGCATTATCCGTTTCAAAATACTTCTCGATTGTGTTCGATGTTAGCCTTACAGAAAGCAGGTTAATTACCCTCTGTCTCATTGGCTGAGAAGATAGCCAGTTGGATGCTCTCTCCTGGGTATCCAGTGAGCCCGAGTGACAACAACTGTTCGAATTTGGCGTTAGGATGGACACCTCGGTAATGGAAAGGCCTGTCGGGCATGGTCACATTGCACTGACGGGTTCTCATATTGATGCTGAATCGCTGGTTCTGTACGGTAACAAACATTGAACAAGAATGAGGGTATAAAGTCAGTACTTAAAACTTATTTTTACTAAATTTATAAAAATTGAAATTGAAACAGCAGTACTTTTTTTTTGTTTATTAATTTATGTATTTATTTCGATTCAACAAAGCCTGAGGTCCAATAAAAAATTGATAACAACATGGATGCAGTTACAAAGATATAAGCAATAACAACATTAAATGGTGAACAATAAGTTGCTAGAAAAGTCATAAAAATAAAATATCTAAATTACAAGTATCCATGATAAGGTTAAAATAGATATGGTTTCTCATAAAAAGGCTGAATTTACAATTACAACATCCAACTTCGAAAATAACAGCGAAATTGGCAAGATCCCAAAATAGAAAATAATTGCTTTAATATTGATTTAAACCACATATGTTAACAAATGCTTTAATACCGTGGAATAGAGGTCAAGGATATCGTAGAATTCCTTAGTGCTATTGAACTCCACTTCCGCAATGGTGCGCACGCGTTTGTTGGTCTCATCGTAGAAGATTCGGCGATATTCCTCGTACTTTTGACTGTAATCAACCTTAAAGAAATACAGAAGATTACAATATAAAACGTATTGATCATTAGCCTCTTACTTAATTAATGTTAACTAACCCAATTGTCAGTATGGCTTTGATAGCGTTACAACGCTTATTGCAAAACAATATTACTTATTTATTCTGTTTTACTTGTATCAACTTTTACGTTCTATTTTAATATATCACTAAGTCATCTCGAATAAGTAACTAACTTACTCACTCTGTAAACATGGTATACATACAATGAAAGAGATTGTTACTTACTCTTACTTCCCTTCCTTCCCATTGTGGAGGTGATTCTAGAAGAAAAAACACAATTCGTTTCATTTAAGCTTATATCTCTACCTATCTGATTATGAAACATTGGAGAATAAATTTCCTTTTTTATTATGTAATGCATTATTGCACCATTTTTTAAAACCATATTTGACAGCTATTTATGTTTATGCTAAGCTTATAGAAAAGATCGTCAATAAAAGTTACATGAAATGTTGTAAATGAAACGTACAGTCCATAAGCACCTTTATCTATCTCTTGTTTTACTTCTTGTATCTCTGAATATTTGGAAATGGATTTCCATTCTTTTAACCTTTAGTGCAACTGTTGGACGCAATGGCCGTTTAGTACCGAACGTGTAAATGTTGACTTTTTTTGGCTTCCTACTACATCGAATAACTGATTTTAATGTGTTGCTTCCTTCTTTCTAAGGATTAATGCACACTCGTTATATAATCCTCTATAATGAAAAAGAAAAGTTCAAGCATTCACTTTTGGACATTTGTATTTGCTCCTGTTTTTCATTAACAGAATCAAAAGCATACAAAAACAATATGAAGACATCGAAAAAAGAAAAATATTCCTTAATGTACATTTTGCTCCACCGTTTGCATGAACAGTAATATAAGGGCATTTCCTGATGAATGTACTTACGACAAGGTGCAGGGACTTGAGCCAGCACAGCGCTGACAGCAACGCACAGGACTAGGGCGACCTTCATCGTGAATTGTTCTTGACCGAAGTGACAATGGACACTGTCTTATCGCGACCTTTATTGGCCGGAGATGTCCAGTCTAATTTTACGTAAACACAAATTATCTAACTGACCACGACTGATACGTCACGAAGCTTATTTCTTAATTCAATGTGTCAAGATCACCAAGGGGTCAAGTGCTACAACATAAGGTAGCACATTGTTAGAGGGGTGAACTCATGGCTACCAACCAGGGCATTCTTCAATCGGATATTGGGGCAATACAAAAAGCGATTTGAAACTGAACAAAAATACTACAAAATATTATCAATCCCGATCTCAAATGATCTTCCCATTACTGATCAGTTCGGTTTAATGTACTATTCATTCACTGTCTGCTTATAAATTTTAAAGATGATCTGAAGTATGATAAGTTACAAGACCATCTCATTGATAATGCTTCCTTCGTATGTGGTGCAGAGAGCGACGATTTTAGACATTTTTGCTATCAATGTCCTTTGCATTCAAATAGTAGACATCATATTACCTCTAAATATAATCTATTGGGATATTAATACATCTGACCAATTAAATAGTACTATTCTTTTCCATGTCGACTCTTATATGAAATTATCAAAACGTTTCTCCAGTTATACACGTTAGTTAAGTTTCAAATTAAGACGTATGAAAAATAATAAAAGTCCAGGCATAGATGGCTTTACGGTTGAATTTTATAAGTGTTTTTGGAAATATTTAGGTAACTTTGTTGTTCGATCTATAAATTTAGGCTATAAAAAAAGGAAATCTATCAATCTCACAACGTCAAGGAATTATTTCATGCATTCTAAAGGGGGATAAACCTCGACATTTTATAAAAAAATTGGAGGCCTATCACACTACTAAATGTTGTTTATAAAATAGCTTCTAGTACAATAGCATACAGAATTAAAACAGTTTTGGATAAAATAATTGATAAAGATCAGACAGGGTTTTTAGAGGGTCGTTATATAGGGGAAAACACTAGACTGATATATGATGTAATGCAATATGCAGAGGAAAATGATATTCCAGGTATGTTTCTAATGATTGATTTCGAAAAAGCTTTTGATTCGGTGTCCTGGGCATTTATTGAGAAAGTATTATGTTTTTTTGGTTTTGGAAATAGTATAATAAACTGGGTTAAAACATTACATAATAATGCTAGTGCTGTAATTAATCAGGGAGGGAATTTGTCTTCATTTTTTCAAGTTAAAAGGGGATGTCGTCAAGGGGACCCGATTGCTCCTTATATATTTATTCTGTGTGCTGAAATTTTAGCTATAAAACTAAGAAACAATAATAAAATTAAGGGTATTAATGTTGATAACTGTCCTATACTTCTATCACAATATGCGGATGACACTGCACTTGCACTTGATGGTACAGAAAGATCACTGCAGGAAGCTATTACTGAACTTAATTTCTATGCAAGTATATCAGGATTGAAAATGAATATTTCAAAAACTCAAGTGGTCTGGATTGGCAATAAAAAATTTAGCTCAGATAAATTCCTTCCAGAACTCGACTTACAATGGGGTAGGGAAAACTTCACACTTCTTGGCATTGAATTTCACGTTAATTTACATGAGATACCTAAACTGAACTTTGATAAAAAAATAACAAAACTTAAATCACTTATCAGATCATGGAAAAGGAGAATATTAACACCAATTGGTAAAATAAACATAATAAAATCAATTTTGGTTTCACAATTTAATCATTTATTTATCTCGCTGCCAAATCCAGAGGAAAAGTTTCTTTGTAAACTGAATTCTATAATTTATGAGTTCTTGTGGAACAGTAAAGTGGATAAAGTAAAGAGAGAAGTTGTTATTCAAGACTTCATTAATGGTGGGTTAAACATGATCAACATCAAAACTTTTATAGACTCACTCAAATTAGGTTGGATTAGAAGAATATTTCAATGTACATCTAAATGGCAAGCAATTTTAAAAACATATGTTAATATAGACATGTTGGCAAATTGTGGTTCAGATTATATAAAGCTATGTGAAAAAAAATGTAAAAACAAGTTCTGGACTGATGTTTTGAAAGCTTGTAAAAACTTGTATCATGCAAATGAAATTAATATTAACAAAAATGAGGTATACTTGAAGACCCCCTTATGGTATAATGACAAAATTATTATTGATAGAAGGTCAATTTTCATTAAGGATTGGTATAAAAAAGGAGTTATTAATATAAATGACCTGATTAAAGACTATAATTCTGGTTCCTTTTATACAGTTCAAGAATTCACTCAAACTTATCAAATACAGACTAATTTTCTCCAATATCACAGTGTTCTTTCTGCAGTAAAACATTTCAACTCTAATCCAGATTTTCCTAAATTAAGACTGTTATGTCCTTTTATTCCTACACACTTAGAACCATTCTTTAAAAAGTCTAAAGGTTCCAAACATTTTTATAGTATCCTGGTAAAAAATAACATTGTTCCATCAGGACAGAAGAAATGGAATAGAGTCTTTGATTTTAGTAACTTTTCTTGGCATCAGATTTTTAAGCTTCCCTTTGCTATAACTACTAATACAAAATTTCAGTGGTTTCAGTATAGAATAAATCACCATATTCTGACAACAAATTCTTTCCTTTTTAAAACTCGAATAGTTGTATCTCCTATGTGTACACTTTGCAATTCTGAGATTGAAACTATTACCCATATTTTATGGGAATGTCAAGAGACTCAGAATCTTCTTATTAGTTTTGAAACTCTTTTGGATGCACTCATTATTCCTTTTGATTTTAATAAAGAATCTTATTTATTTGGATTTCTTACACAAAATGTTAATGGTAGAATTGATAATGAGATACTCATTATAATTAAACAATATGTATATAAAATGCGTTGTCTTCATAGCTCCTTAAATATAAATGCATTGGTTAACACAATAAAAGACTACCATAATATACAAAGATTTATAGCAAATAGCAAAGGAGAAACTTATAGAGAGAAGTTTGAAAAGGAATGGAAAAAATGGGAAAAACTTCTTGTTTTGTAAAAATAATATTCTGATAGCTGTCTCCTGGGCTTTGGAAATGAATTATAAAATCAATAATTTTCTTCTATTACACTTATCCATACATTCATAAGCTTGAGCTCAAAAATATAATAGTCCATCCCCACCCTCTCTCTCTCTCTCTCTCTCTCTCTCGCTCTCTCTATTCTCTCTCTCTCTCTCTGAACTGATTCATGTAATTTTAGTTTACAGTTTTTAGTAGCTTTTCATTTTTTTTTGCATTTCTATGATTCTATGATTCCTTACTTGTTTGTGTTTGTATGTAAGAGTGTGTGTATGGGTGGGTGTGAGTAAGGGCGATTATGTATGTGTTAATGTTGTGATGCAACTTATAATATATGAAATCATTTCATCATACATGAATGGAGGATGATGATGTTGATGATGTTGATAATGAATGATGATGATGATGATGGATGTTGATGATGATGATGATGCTGATGATGAATGATGATAATGATGATGATGGAGGTAATAACATCAAAATGTATGTGAGATGATGATGATGATGATGATGATGATGATGATGATGATGATGATGATGATGATGATGATGATGATGTTGATAATGAATGATGATGATGATGATGATGATGATGATGATGATGATGATGATGATGATGATGATGATGATGATGATGATGATGATGATGTTGATAATGAATGATGATGATGATGGATGTTGATGATGATGATGATGCTGATGATGAATAATGATAATGATGATGATTNATGATGATGATGATGAATGATGATGATGAGGATGATGGAGGTAATAACATCACAAGGTATGTGAGATGATGATGATGATGATGATGATGATGATGATGATGATGATGATGATGATGATGATGATGATGATGATGATGATGATGATGAAGGTTATAACATCACAATGTATGTGAGATGATGATGATGATGATGATGATGATGATGATGATGATGATGATGATGATGATGATGATGATGATGATGATGATGATTGAGGTAATGGCATCACAATGTTGGTGAGTGAGTGGACGTTTATGTTGTTGTTGTTTTTTATATCAATAAAACTTGTGAAAAAATAAAAAATAAAAAAAAAAGTTTCAAATTAATATATTATTATTATTTAGGTAAGTTATGTCTTTAGACTAAAATATAACACATGAGCTAGTGTGGGTGTGGGTATGTGTGAGAGGGACACTAACAGTTCTGTATATTGAATCTCTACCAGAAAAAAAGAAGAAGACTGAAATAGGCTTAAACTGTTGTCTGATTCTTTTGGCAATGTTGTACTAAAATCTGATTTAACATAAAAAAGAACTTACATGTTCGTATTATATATGTATTGTCAATAAAATACTTTTAAATTAAATTGATGTATGTCCTTTGAATGACCTCTAACAAGGCATATTCTGTTACAAACAATTACATATCTCTATTCTCGATTGTTTTCTTATTCACAAAATAATGGTTGAGAAATTATTACCTAAGAATCGTTGAAACTTGAAATTATTAGCGTCCAATGCTAAAGCCTTTTTTTTGTTTCTGAATGATTTTGTCAGAAGTATGGTTAAACTCAAGAACTTGTTTTTATTTGGAACTTTCGTATTCGTTTTGATACAAAATGTTCATTTATGTTTCCTTATGTACATTTCACATTTCCATTTGTTTCAGTACCTACTTGATTTCTTTGCTCTGAATAGTCGGATTTCATCTTGGCGTGTTGACAGCGTGATAATCTTTTCTAGTATATTTCTCTGTATTCCATTTTTTTTATGTTTATTGATATTGAACAACGATAATTTCTTATATGCTATGAACTAAATACCTTCCGCGGGTGGTCAGGTGGCGCAGTGGATAACGCACTCACATTTTACCAATGCGGTCGCGGTTTAATTCCCCAACCGATGAGAACATGTATGAGGTCACCTGCACTTGTATACCGGTTTCCTCCAATATAGAGCCCAATCCCCCCTCCTCGCCCCTCCCCCCTCTTATAACTAATACTTTCAAATGTAACG